AGGCCATGTTAGTGAGGGGGTTGTTCCCCTCCCCCCGTTCTCATTTGTGTGCAGCCCTTCCGACTGATTTTACTGTAGGTCAGCGGGCCCCGACCCAAAAAAGGTTCCCCTGCCAAATAGACTGCATAGTGTTGTCAAACACACAAAAAACAGAACCACACTAAAGAAACTTTCTCCCACTCTAAGCTAGTTCAGTTACAGTAATCTTAGAAGTCTTAATGGGAGATTTAAAAATAAACATTACATTTATTTTTAAATTAAGTAACGAGGACTCTTTATACTATAATTACCAGACTGTTGCAGAGATCCTGGTCCTCTAGGCTGCCCCTTGTGAGTTATACCAGATAACTTGTCAATCCTATTCAGAAGAAAATTAAGCATTCATCTATTCAAAAATAAACCAGAACTTTCAAGAGTGTGTATATATAATAAAATACATTTAAGCTATTTTCAAAGATTAGATAATATATAACTCTTTCTAGGACTTTAATGTATTCATAGAAATAAAACTACTTATTTTGTTGTAAAGCATACTTTATCTGCTTATTTGAAAATAAGTGACTAACCTGTTCATAGATCCCATTTGATCAACAAATGTAGTGCAAAAGAGTGATACAACTTCAACCATATTTTTTTGTAAATGAGACTAATGCCTTTTCATAATTTCTGAGGTTTCCTCTAAAATGCTAGGTGTAAAGTTCTTGGGTAACAAATTGCAATTGCTATTCTAATGTTACCATTTTTTTATTATTATTACATCAGAATTAGAACCAACTGGGCCCTTGTTGCTTCCAACTACCATTAAGACTAAATATTATGTCAATATCAAGTACAGGCAGTCCCCGGGTTACGTACAAGATAGGGACTGTAGGTTTGTACTTAAGTTGAATTTGTATGTAAGTCGGAACTGGTACATATTGTAGTCAGCCGCTGGTCAGTTTCAGCAGCGGCTGACTTGGGGACGCCTGGGGCAGAGCAGCTGGGGTGCTGCTGGGTTGGTCCAGTAGCGCCGCACCTCGGCGCTGTGGGACCAACCC